GAGGGATGCAACAAAGAATGTAACGTTTCGCTTCTTCAGACGAACGGTCGGTCGGTGTTTGGGGCTAACAGAACGAGAATTCTTCATCGACCGCACAGAGCACGGCGTGCTTGCACATAACGCAGACAGACACCTTTGCCAAGCAACCCGTTTCTGACGAACACCGTTCGACACGGTAGACAGACGAGTTGGCTTCGAAAGTCCGCCCCGCCTGCAGTAGTGCCGACGGAGTGAGTAGTCTGTCTTGAAGAAGATCCGTAAGGTACCCACCGAAACCCGAAACGTCATCCAACAGACCAGCTGTTTGTACTAGCAAAGCAAATTCGCTATATTTGGATAATTATATATTAAAATCCAACAAACAAAGCTAAAACTTACGGCAGGTACACGCAACGGGAGCAACAGACTAGGAGCACACCTGAATGCGCCTGTGTCGTATTTCGGAGATATTCCGTTTGTGTTACCTTGTCATTTTGCGATTAGGGCAGAATCAACAGTTTAAAATATGTTAAACGGCCGTCATAACCGTCGTTCCGATTTAACCGTATAACCGATAACAGCGTTTATGCCGGACACACGCAAAACGAATGCAAGAAAAACCCGTACTGTGTTCCTCTCGCATGTGGCCTGCACCGGCCTACCAGTACTTGGCGAGGATCGCCTCAGCCGTAACACGTTCTGTTGTCATTCGAAGCGTATGAAGTTTCGCCAGCGGCCGGCAGGACTGACGGTCGGTTGGACAGTTTCGCAGAGATCGGTCCATCGGTTCCGTCCAGTTTTTGTCCATGTTCTCTCCTCTAGCCTTTGACGAACCGATGTCTAACCGCAGCGCCAGCTGACAGCCTTTTCTGAGAAACAGACTGGGGGAACTCGAAGACAGCTACGCCGTGATGGTCGTTCATGCGAAGGTTAATCGTTCATCAGTGGAACAAGGTTTCGACGTGATGGTACGTGGAAGCGGCCAGGTTTTTAATTACCCTTCGGTAATTGTTGAACTATATCTCAGAAAAACGTAAACACCAAAGTTAACAAAAAAAGAGGACCGATCGAATTTCTGCCAGAACGTACGTAGTAAAGCGAATTTTTACCGTGCAACCTATACGCTGAACGAAAGATTGCATGTATGAATGAACGAACGAACAAGTGAATGAAACTGTTAGAAGAAGCAAGCGAGGTCTGAATGAGCGAATGAACAAGCGAAAGATCATACGAATGAATGAACAGGTTAACAAGTAAATGAACCAAAGAACCTGTGAATAAATGACTGAATGATTGAACGAAAAAAATGAACGAAGAACGAAATAAAACGAACGAACAAATAAACGAAATGAGTAAACGACAGGATGAACACATCGGTGAATGAACGAACGAACGAATGAATCAATAGATGAATGAATAAATGAATGAACGAATGAATGAATGGATGAATGAATGAATGAATGAATGAATGAATGAATGAATGAATGAATGAATGAATGGATGAATGGATGAATGGATGAATGGATGAATGAATGAATGAACGAATGAATGAATGAATGAGTAAACGAATGAATGAATGAACAAGCAAACACGCAAACGTATGAATCTCACCAAACGAACATACAAGTAACCATCTGTCGTAACGCGTTGTTGTCATCCGTCACGCCATAACGATGCGCGGCTCTGTCGTATTAACCATCACACTTTACCCAAGCGCTTGTTCAGGTACGGCTTGGCTGCCATTTCACACACCAAACACGAACACCTGCGCATCACAAATCGAGCTGAAAACGAAACACCAAATGCTACCTTCGCTACCACTCCTCACAGAATCACCTCAATCAGAAATTCATTTTCCGTATAAGTCTACCTGCAACTGATTATTCTATATTTGACATATGTGTATAAGGTACTCGGAGGCACATCGGTGCTACACCTACATGCCTGTACAACTGAAGTTAAATCGCTTTCAAATATGCAATTGCTGCCTTTAGTTCATGGCAGGAATTACAGAGACGCTGTTACCAGCTTCCACAGCCCCATAGTCA